AGGGCCCGACCGCCGGAGCCAGCCAGCACCCTCCAGAGGAGGGGGAGGGGGAGGGGGAGGAGAGGGAGGAGGAGGAGGAGGAGGAGGAGGAGGAGGAGGAGGAGGAGGAGGCGGAGGAGGCGAGAAGGGGGAGGAGTCGAACAGGAGGCGATGGTCTGGAGACGAATGCCACGACCTCAGGGGCCGTGGCCCGCCATCGCGCGCCAAGTCGCCTGCCGCGTCGCCCGCCGGCAGGAGGAGCAGGGGAGAGCCGGAGAACGAACATGGCAACCGCCGATCAGAGGACGCCAGCCGCACCCCACTGCCAGACCGAGGGTGGCAACGCATCCGCGCTACAGGACCCGGACTACAGACGTCAGACCGCCCCGGTGTGCCGGTCGACCCAGACACGGAGAAGGGGAAGGAGGACTGCACCATCGCCCACACCATGGTACAACACGCCTGGGAGCTACACGGCGACGTTGATAAGGCCTGGCGGCAGTGGGTTGATGGGCTGCAGCAACAGCGACAGAACTCTGACGGATCCCATGGCGTCCCTCTGGACCCACGCGCGCGGACAGAGGACGACTGCAAGGGCTTCCTAAGCAGCATCTCCCAGACAACGGGGTGCCCACAGGATGCCCCTGGGACGGAATGCAGGCCGCCTTGGTGCACCTGGTAGCCTTTCTCACCAGGCAGAAAGGGCACACTCTCAACAGAAAGGATTACCTGGTCGATCAGGGGACCTACCTGAACCTGAACCTGGGCAAGGACCCGAACAGGTACAGTCAGCAGCACCTCGCGAGCTTCCTAGCCTCGCAGGGGATGCAGAGCCTGACGGAATACGACACGCCTGGTGCCGACCCGAGTGCCAACGTGAAGTCGATCCACAACAAGATAAGTAAGGGCACCAGGCCTTCAGGCCGAGCGCCCAACCCCGGCCACAGCACCGCGTGAAATTGCAGGGCGCCGCCACCGCGGCCGAAGCTCCGCCCCAGCCAGAGGCTCCCAGGGGCACCTTCGCCCAGACGTGGGCAGCAGTGCGACAGAGGGCGCGCCCGCCGCAAAGGCTGGGGGCCCAGCCTGGCAGCTCTGCAGCCCACGCGCCCCGCCCTACCCAGGACGCTGGCGCGGCCGCACCGTCGCCACCAAGGCAGGAGGCCCGCGTTGGCAGCGGTGGGGTGGAGATTGACTGCTCACCCGACGCCGAGGCCGCAGGCCAAGACCCCCAGGCAGACCCCAAGAAGGAGTCCCACGCGAGCGACCACGTCCAGGCAGCGGCCAACAGCACAGGCCCAGATCACGCTGAACAGGCGACCGCTCAGCTTCCGCGGCGCGAGCAGACCGCGGACGACAACGCCACAGTTGATGCGAAACCAAGTGCGCCCAACACCAGCGACCGCCGTAACGGACCGCAGCAAGCGAACCCGAAGACGGACGTGCACGGAAGTCACTTAAGACGGCCGAACAGGGTACAGTCGCCAACCCCAGCACGCATGGATTGAACACTCCACCCCCTGGGCAAACTACAAGGGGGGAGGAGCCTCCTCCTCTACCGCCGGCTCGGCTCGTGCCGACCCGGGGGCGCGCGATTGGCACAGGGCCCCGCGGTCCGATCCTGGCTGTGCCCGCCACGAAGACCCCAGCGACTCGCTATACATTCGGCCCCGTCGGATGATCACCTGGTCCCACGCGTGGAATCACATATCCAACACGCGTGAGACATGTGCCAAGGTCGTTAACAGGCTAAAGCGGGACTGCCTGCGTAATTGTTTCGTCGAAGGATCAAGCGTTTTCTGCGACGCCAGGGACAACAGGGCACCAGGAAGAGGGACCTGCAACCCCGAGGGAGAAGACGCCTTCTTCGAGCAGCTTGTGAACGACCTGCATCGCGACTACTTTGACATCCGCAGGGTATGAATGTTGCCGGGAGTTCACGTGTATTGGGAGGCAGTCTGGGGTCGCCAATTGCAGCGCAACGAGCAACAGCGGGACAAAGTCAAGGGCAAAGGAAATGGTCACGACCCGGGCGGGAGGCTCGGAAGAAGCCCATTGCAGGCGCTTAATTTTTACAAGCGGTAACACGAGCCTGCCGCAGGCGCCGAGTTTTCGTTAAAGCAATGTGGGTGGGTCGCGGGTGGTTCGCGGGTGGGTCGCGGATGGGTCGCGGGGTGGGTCGCGGGTGGGTCGCGGGTGGGTCGCAGGGTGGGTCGCGGGTGGGTCGCGGGTGGGTCGCGGGTGGGTCGCGGGTAGGTCGCGGGCGTGTCGCGGGTCGGGTCGCGGGCCGGCTCGCGGGTAATTCGCGGGTGGGTCGCGGGCCCGTTGGCGGGTGGGTCGCGGGTGAATCGCGGATGGGTCGCGGGCTGGGTCGCGAGGTGAGACGACAATAGCAACCAACAAATAACAAGCATCAAACAACGAATAGCAAGCAACAAACAACGCAATAACAAAAACATCATGAACAACAATCATTCTAATCAAAGTGAGGGGGCCGAACGGTCATTCATTGTCCCTGGGTGCGTGGCTGAAGTCAGGATTCGTGGTGAGGATTATGCTTGTTGCGTTGTTGTTGTTATTGTTGCTGCTGCTGCTGTTGTTGTTGGTGGTTGTTGTTGTTGTCGTCGTCCCCCCCGCGACCCACCCGCGAGAACCACCCCGCGACCTACCCCGCGACCCACCCCGCGACCCACCCCGCGACCCACCCGCGACCCACCCGCGACCCACCCGCGACCCACCCGCGACCCACCCGAGACACACCCGCGACCCACCCCGCGACCCACCCCGCGACCCACCCCGCGACCCAACCCGCGACCCATCCGCGACCATCCACGACCCACCCGCGACCTGTTTGCGACCCATTTGCGACCCACCCGCGACCCACCCGCGACCCACCCGCGACCCAACAGCGACTCACCCGCGACCCAGCCGCGACCCACCCGCGACCTGCCCACATTAGTCTAACGAAAAAATCGGCGCCTGCGGCGGGCTCGTTGCATAATGTGTAAATGTTTGGCGCCTGCGGCGGGCTTCTCCAGAGTCTGGCAGACTGCCGACGTCCCCACCGCCCCCCTCACTCTTATCCGCATCTGCGGGGTGCTACGTAATGATCGTTCATATTTGCTCGAATTCCAGTCAACACGTATGTACCCCAACTTCTCGATACCCACTCGCTTCGTTTTCGATTGGACACCTTACGGGTATATCTTTCTTACCTGCAACGCGTATTCAGCGCAGCCCCTAAGGCAGTGGAGGAGAGGACGGATGGAGGCAAGGGATAAGGGGCAGGCGGATTGCCGAAGCGTGCGTCCTACATGAATCGCGAGGAAGTCTCGCGCGATAGCGCGATTCCCGAACAAACCGCGTGAAAATCCGCAGCGAGAGCGTTGTCGAGGGCGCGGCGTCTAAATACATTGTGAGGAAGTTCCACGCGAGAGCGCGATTCCTGTATACACTGTGAGGAAGTCCTGCGCGAGAACGCGATTTGTGAACACACTGCGAGGAAGTTTCAGGCGGGAACCGTTGTTGCTGCAGTGCGGGGTCCAACAACGCAGTTTGGTGACTTTTCATCTTCCGTTGTAAGAATATCAGGGCGCGAGCCCCGAGGGTGGTTACCGGGCAGGGGGGATCAACCATTTGTTTGAGGGGGAAATGCGAATTCAACAACAATCCGCACCGCGGACCTCACTTCACCACGCGCCCAGGGACAATGAATGACCGTTCGGCTGGTGGTGGTATTTCTGAATGTTTAGGTGCCAGAGGCATAAGGAACGGAGTGGGGGGGGAGGATACCAATGATAAAGTCGAAGGAGGAGAATGAGAGGTTGAGGAGGAGAAGAGGGAGGAATATGAAAATAAAGAGCCAGATGGGTAGGAGGTGTTAGGTCGTGGGTCTTTGGAAACATGGGGCGGGGTGGGGGCAAGTATTCGTGGCACGCTCTGCGAGGGCCGATTGAGCAGGGTGAGGTATGGCAGGAATGGGGGAGGGAAGAGGGAGGAGAAGGCGGAGGAGGACGAGGACGAGGATGAGGAGGGAGGAGGACGAGGAGGAGGAGGAGGAAGAGGATAAATACAAGCAGGAGAATGATGAGGAGGAGGAGGAGGAGGGACCAGTGCAAACATAAGATGTCATACTCATCAGAGATGGTGGAATAAACCTTCCCTGCAAGCTTTTCCTTCATAGGCCACTACAAGGGATCATTTCCACTGAGGGAGATGCCTCGCTGGACAACAATTGATTGAAGACCCTGAAGCGTGCAAAACCAACATTCTCAGGGATGCCCACGCCACGAATCAAACTGATTGCTACGTCCTGGCGTTCCTGAGTCGAGCTAGAACGCAATTTCTGGGACTTCAGCACCGCGAATCATCGTAACTGCTGCGCTCCCACAATCCTGAGTCTTTCCAACAATTCCATTGCCAGTACGTTGACCGTGCGGGTACGTTGACCGTGGGAATCCGTGAAACATTTGCAAATGTTGATGAACATGTGCGCGGCGCAACAGCGAGAACCACATTTTGAAAAGGAGCCGCCCCCAATCCGTGAAACCTTTTGCAAACGTGTAGGACGAATGCGCGCGGCGCTGAGGCGAGAGCCACACTTTGAAAGCTCCTGCGATGTATTATAACGAATGTGCGCGGTGCTGAGGCGAGAGCCACATTTTGAGAACCACCCGCCTTCAATATGTGAATCTCTTGCCAATCTCTAAATTTCCTGTTCATGAATGGCGAGGAGATCTCAGGCGGAACACCCGGCCTCGGGGTGCGACTCGGATGATTACAAGGAAAACAAGAGGAGGAGGAGGAGCAGGAGTAGGAGGAGGAGGAGGACAAAAGGAGGAGAGGAGGAGAGGAGGAGGAGGAGGAGGAGGAGGAGGAGGACGAAGAGGAGGAGGAGGAGGAGGACGGAAGGGGAGGAGGGGAGCTGGAGGTGGAGGATGATGAGGATGTTGGGCCCCGCCACTCGCGAGGCCGCCTTGGGCAGCGCAGCGCCCCCCACCCGCTGGCGCGGGGGGAAAGGCCCGATGGCGGCGGTGGCCGCCCAAACGACGGTCCTGGAGCCGGTCGCGGTGCTCGCCGAACAGGTGGGTAGTCTGGGGATGACGACGACCGATCCGCCTCCTATCTCCTCCTGTTTCCTCGTCGTCCTCCTCCTCCGTAGCCATGTTGGTTCAAGTTCGAAGCGTGTCCCTGGCGCTTCGAATCTGGACGCAGGCCCGGGGAAGGCTCAGCGCCCCGCCTTTTGAAGACAGGCCTCATCTGCACGTCCACCTCGGCGGGCAGCTGAGCGGCTGGGGAAGTTCTCTCTCAGCCTCAGCTGTGGCGCATGGCGAAGCAGCACTTTCTCGATAGGCAATGAGGGCGTCCCCAGTCTGGGCACGAACGCGAACAGGGACACCATGTACTTCTCCAGCGGCACTGCGGCATGGGAGTTGTTCGAGGTAGAGGAGCGAGGGTGAGACGCAGGCCATAATTGCCCGGTTGTGCTTTCCACAGGATAGCGACGTCGAGGGAGGCGGCTGAGTCCATATCGTTGTATTTTCAGCCTCGTCATCAATGTCGCACTGTCTCTTAGAATACACTAGCTTTTTTTTGGGGGGGTGTTTACGGAAAGCACAGGGTGCAGGAGCAGAGCTATGCCAAGTTCCGGCGGCGCGTTGATTTGAACGACGGATGCCGTCTTCAAGAGGCGGGCGCCCCAGACGGCGATTTGGCTACTGCGCGCCAGGACTTTCCGAACCACCGCTTCTTGATGAGCTTCTGTGAAGGGGCGAGGGCCGGTGGCGTCGCGGCCGTCGTTTCGTCCGAAGTTGCCGAGCAGTTTCGCGCCGCGAGATGCGTCGTGGCACGAGCGGGTCGGTGCCAAACTCTCACTCTCCGCTGTGCTGCTGGCGTTCTGCTTGTTTGAATTTCCACCTCGTGGCCTCTTCTCTCCAGGTCTGCGAAGCGAGCGCTTTCGCGGCGCATCCGCTCCCGCTTTCTCGAGCCAAGTGGGGCCCCGTGCTTTCTCGTCGGCGATTTTATTTTCTACGCCGCTGCCGAGTCCAGACAACATCGCGATGAGACTTCGCATGCTAGCTCGCACGAGCTATCTATATAGTTTGACGATGAAGTTCATGTGATCGCGAAGGCGGAACAACATTTGCCGTCGCACAGGGAGCGGGCGGATGGGGGGGCGCATCTGATCGATGGCTCCGCTTGGTCGCATCTTCGCCAAGAGCTCCCCATCTGCGTGCGCAGACCTACGGCCGCAGATTGCGTCGCTGGCTCCTTCGGGGCTCTTCGTAGCGCCGCGATCGCGCGCCGGTGCCCCTCGGGCGCAGTGGGCGGAAGCGTCCCCAGCGAAACGCAGCGCTGGCGCGCGCGCGTCGCGCGGTGGAGGTCAAGGAGGAGGCGGGGGCATCGCTGGGAGGGGGGGGGGCAGTTCTTGCAGGAGGTTTCGGCGCGCTGCTTGAGCCGCGCACGCGCGTTTCCCAGGAAGCTGGGCTGGGGGCTCCGACGAGGAGGGCGGAGGTGGCGAGCGCAAAGGCGTCACGTGACAAGGCCCCTCGGACGTTCGCAGCGCCCCGCGCCGTTCGAGAGCAGAAGCTGGGAGTTGTCCGTCGGGCTGTCCGCGCTCGCCTTGTGCCGGCGCAGTTCTCGCCCTCCGACGAGGGGGTGTCTTGCTCGACCGGGTCGGGCTCCATGGGCGCCCCCCGGCCCTCGCCATCGACGGCCCCCAGCAGGGAGATGTCGAGGTCCTCTCTGGCTCGCCCCCCTCCCGCCGCCAAGGATGCCCAAAGCAATCGCCTCGACCGTCTGCGGCGAGCATGGGCCCGGGCCGGGAGCGTCGCCTCCCATGCCAGGCGTCTTCGGCGAGGGGCTTCGCGGACTCACAGAACTGCCGCCCACTTGGGAGGGGCCATTGTGGAAGAGGCGTGGCCGGCTCTGTCTACCGCGAGCTTGATAGGTTCATTCAGACAGCTCCTTCCCGCATCGAATGGAAGCTTTGCGAGCGGGAGCTCCGCGGTCGCGCCGGCCGCCTGCGCGACGCTGCTCGCGGCGTGGACGGGCTGCCATTTAGTTGCTGGAAGGTGGGGGCGGGGCGGGGGGGGCGGGGCAGAAGCTGCTCTGCGGCGTATGTGATCAGCTCTTTGATCATGGCGCGATTCCGCGGGATTGCAACGAATGCCCGGCTGCGCGCGTGCCACACAGAGAAGGCGGTGGCGCCGCGGAGAATGGCATCTTCCGCCCCCTTGCTCTTCCCCTCGTTCGGCTAGCCGCTCACGCAGTTGCCCCGCGCCGAAGTGGCCGCGCCTCCTGGAAGGAACATGCTCGAGAACATCCTCAATTTAGAGACAGCGCCGCTAGAACGCGACGCCATCTACGTAAAAAGACCCACAGGGATTGTTTCATCATCTGATGTCAAAGCTGCGCTTCCGTGCGGCAAAAGAACGGGTCCTGGATCAAATGCGCATGCCAGGACGCATCGTCGAAGTTGCGCGAGCCCTGCACTCCAATGTCATGGCGCAGGTCAGTTTCAGCGGGCACCGCGACTGCGGCTACCAGCTGGGCGGGGACCATCTGTACGACTCACAGACGGGGTTCCCGCTCGAGACTTCCTCAATATTCTGGCCTCAGGAGCCCACAAGTGACAACAGTGACCAGTCTTTAGAGCCCCGCTCGAAGAAAAATAAGCTGCGGGCCTCATCGGGGGTAGGCTGCCACCTGAGATTTCTTCGCAATTCACTCACAAAAGGGGCTCCCGCTCGAGTCTCCCTCCATACTTAAGCCTGTGGAGCCCAAATGTGACGACAGTTACAGGTTCCTGGATACCGTCTCAAATGACAAAGCGTAAGCTGCGGGCCCTATAAAGGGGATGTTCCCGCCTGAGACTTTCTCGTAAATCACTCACAGACAAAACTCCCGCGTGATATTCGCTCCGTATCCAAGCCTGGGCCATTCAAAAATGACGACGGCCAGTTGGGTGACCCGATCGGATTAAAAAAACATTAGGTGCGGGCCCCATCAATTCACTCGCAGACGAGTCCCCCAATTGAACCTTCCTCCAAATTCGAACATCAGGGGCCCAAGAGTGACGACACGTATAGGTTTTGGATGACCCGCTCGCACTGGTAACGTGATTTGCGGACCCCATAGGCAGGAGGCTCCCGCCTGGGATATCCTCCCAACACACTCGACGGGGCCCCCGCCTGAGATCCACATTCAAAAACGAGGCGCCCGTTTGATACGTCTTTCAAATTTACGCCGCAGGAGCCCCAAAATGAGGAGCGAGGAGTGGATAGGTGAATGATGCTGATCATCATTATCGTGATCATGGTCATGATGAGTGCGTGAGTGTGTGGGTGCGCGGGTAAGAATGACGCTGATGATGGTGATGAGAGTGAGTTGGTGGGTGAGCACGAGCACGATGGTGATGGTGAGGAAGAAGGGGGCAGCAGATCCTGCGTGGGGGTGTATAGAGAAAACGAGAACCCCATTGCGGAGATTGGGAAACATAGAAACATGTTGTGCAGTAGCTGCTGGCCTTTTGGGGGGCATGGGCGAGTATTGCAGCCGAAATAAGGTGCTTCGACCTTGTTTGTGCCTCTGCCAGTTCCCTCTGCCGCTGCTGAAATCGACGAGCAGACTCTCGTCCCGAACTTCGAGAGCTGGCGGGCTAACCGCATTACGCACTACATGATTCAGCACCGTGACAGGGTCTATCAAGCCCCACTGTTTTCCAAGGTTCCGTGTAGTGAGTTGCAGAAGTGAACTGGACCAAATGGTTATGGGGGCTCACGGTGTTGTCCAGCTCCTTGACCAGCAGATTGCTCCCTGGAATGAAGCACTGGCGCGACTCCTGTAGTATAGGTGCCGCTGATCAGTGCGTTTTCCAGTCCCACGCTATTAATCAAAGCTTGCCCGAGGGTGTAGGAATTAGCACGCTGGAAGCTGTCCGGAATTCATGGTGTATGTCCGAACTTTTCCGCCAGGCGACTCTTTGCCCCGACGCCTCTCGAGACTCGTTGGCGCAATATTTATGTTGTCCAGTGTTTCAGGGTACTTTGTCTCGGCTCGTTCTTTCTTTGCATGTCGGTTGGCCCAATCGCAGTTTTGTGGGCAAGGCTCTCACGAATAGATCCTTTTGGGCCTCGGCAAAGCACCTCTGTGTTATTGATGTGTCTCTCGATCTTGCATTCAATGCTTTGCAAGTTAACGAATCGCATTCACAGGTGTCAGTTGTCCAACCCATAGAGGCCCGAGCCCGAGTACTCGCCAGGCGATCCGCTAAGGTGCGCGCCCTGCTGATTTAGCCGTTTAGCCAGGCGAGATGATGCTTCTTTTCGGTTCGGTTGCCTCCTCCCCCTCCTCCTTCTCCTCCTCTTCCTCCCCTCCTCCTCTTCCTTCTCATCATTCTCCTCCTCCTCCTCCTCCTGCTCCTCCTCCTCCTTCCCCTCCTTCTCCCTTGACATCCGGTCGTTGTATGACATATTACTCCGACGGTGGGACCCCGCACGAGAATCGATTCAGCTCGCCCATCGCCTTTTTCTCTTTCGTCTGGCGGAGGCTTCCTTCCGCCCTCTCCGTCCTCCTCCTCCTTCTCCTCCTTATCCTCCTCCTGTTCCTGCTCGTCCTACTCGTTGCACTTCTCATCCTCTTCCTCTTTCGCCTCATGCTCCGCCTCCTCCACTTCCTCCCTCTCCTCATGTTCCTCCTCCTCGGCTTTTGCCTTGCCCTCCTCCAGCTCATCCTCCTCCTTCCCCTCCTCATCGCCGCTCCGCTCGTTCTCCTCCTGCACTTTTCCTTCCTCCTGGCAGGGGCGCGTGCCGGGCGCCGCCGCGCTCTGGCGGGGGGCAGCACGAAGCCCAGCTCTGCCGCGAGCTGCTCCGCCTCTGCCCTGGAGCTCTCCGTTTTGACGTCGGGCTCCAGGAGCGCCTTCTGCAAGGATGCCGGCGGCCCTCGCTCCAGAAACTCTCGCGGCGGCGGTCGCAAGATCAGCGTGTTCCGCATGCGCGTGGCGCGGGAGAACAGGACGTAGAGGTGCAGCCACCACTGCTCGTCCGACATACCCGTGCGACCAGCGTCCTCGTCCCTCGCGCAGTCGATGGTGACGCCCTTGCGCAGCGTCTGGCCTGCGACAGCGTGGAGGTGAGGCACGACGCGCGCGCCTTGGTGAACCCCGAGCGGCGCACGTCGCGCGGCCCCGAGCTCTGCCACGTGAGCTGCTTCTCGCTGGGCCTGATTATGAGCAAGCTCCTCGCCCACGCCTCGGCCTCGCCGTCGTCGTCGGCGCCTTCGGCGCCCTGTAGCAGCACTTCGGCGACCTCCTGGTAGATCGGAGACTCTCGGAGCCGTGCACCTGCAGCCAGATTCCCTGCGGTAGGTAGCGGGGCCGGAAGAGCTGGTCCTGCGAGAATTCCTCGTGCCGCTGCTCGTCTGCGGGGTGAACGCCGAAGGATACGATGGTAGCCCGTTGCTCCTGCACTAGCCCCAATTTCTGCTTCTGCTTTTCCTGCGCTGCCGTTAATCGCACCTCCATGCCGACGTGGGCCGGTAAGGCGCCGTGGATGTCCCCCGTCGTGCGCATGTCCGGGACGTTCGGGAGGTGACGGCCCGCGTCGGGATCGCCCTGAATCGCTTTGCACTCGTCCACGGTCTGCAAGAGAACGGGGGGCACGCCCAGACACCGCGCGTGGCGACGAGCGCTCGTGTTGATCCACCTCGTCGCCAGCGTCTCCCAGACAACGCCCATGCCGTAGCCGAGCCGAAACTTCTCTCGCTGGTGCCGAGGGTCCAGGACGCCGTGGTTGGCCGAGGCCAACGTCGCTTCCCAGGCAGACCAGACCACTGGCGGGAAGGGTTTGCCCTCGCGCGTGCAGCCCAAGAACGGGATCAGAGGGTCCCTGGGTTCGAAGCCCTTCGGCTTGCATTTCGAAGACGCAGGGGATCTGAGGGAAGACTTCGATGGCGTGCTGCATCTCCACCGTCGGCGGCTCCGCGTACTTGTAGGACTCGTCGTCCAGGAGCTCGCTCACGTCCGTCAGGAGGCCGATGCTGCCCGTAGGTTTCAGGTGCAGAAAATCGCCGACGTGCAACACGATGGGGACGCGCCCAGGGTGGTGGTGCGTCCGCTTGTACGTGGACTCCTGCACGTCGCGCGTGGCACGCGCGAAGGTCCAACGCGATGTACAGCGCGGCCGCCACCCGCTTGACACTTCCTCCATATCCAAGACTCAGGGGCCCAAAAATGACGAAAGTTACAGGATTCCGGTGACCCGCTCGGATCCTTTTTGATATTAGAAAAACACTCGCGGAGGGGGGGGCCATAGGGAGAGGGCTCCCGCTTGAGATTTCCTCGCAATTCACTCACAGACGAGGTTTCCGCCTGATACTTCCTCCATATTCAGGCCTCAGGGGCCCAACAATGACGGCATTTACAGGGTTACGACTGCCCACTCGGGTAAAAAACATGAGCGGCGGGCCCCGTAGGGAGGGGGCTCCCGTCGGACACATCCTCGTCATTCACTCACACACGAGGCTCCCGCCTGATACATCCTCCATATGCAGGCTTCAGGGGGCCAAAAGTGACGACAGTTACAGGGTTCCGATGGCCCGCTCGGATGAAAACCATTTGCGGCGGGCCCCATCGGGAGTCTGAGACTCACAGGCGAGGCTCCCGCCTGATACATCCTCCATATTCAGGCTTCAGGGGCCCCACAGAAACGACAGTTACAGCGTTCCGAAGACCCGTTCGGATTGAAGGCGTGAGCGGCGGGCCCCACAGGGGGGGGTCCCGCCTGAGGGTTCCTCGCAAGTCACTCACAGACGAGGCGTTGTTGACGATGGTGTTTTGAGAATGAGGTTGATGATAACGATGATGAGGATGCTGATGATGATGGTGATGATGAAGATGATGATGGTAATGGTGTGGGTGTGTGAGTGAGTGAGAAGGGAGGGAGTCTTCCTAATCCTGCGCGGGGTGTCCAGAGAAAAGAAAAACCCCACTTCGGACGTGGGGAACAGCAAAAACACAACGGAAGGTGTTTGCCAATTTTCCGGTTTTCCAGGGGCCCTCGCAGGGCCCTTGGTCCGTCGAACAACGGTTCAGGATGAAATGCCGGCCCCATGGAAGGGGTCCAGACCTTTGGGGAGCCACGTTGTGCAAACATCGCGACGGAACATGTCGGGATCATTCCTTTCTCTTCCGTGCGTCTCTTCGTTCTGCCTCCCCCTCTTCCTCCTCCTCCCACTCATCCTCATCATCATCATCATCATCATCATCATCATCATCATCATCATCATCATCATCATCATCATCATCATCATCATCTTCATCTTCATCTTCATCTTCATCATCATCATCATCATCATCATCATCGTCATCATCATCATGCATCCCACCTCTCCCTCCTCCTCCATTGCTCATCCTCCTCCATTCCTGCTTCGCCTCCTCCTCCTTCTTCTCCTCCTCCTCATCCTCTTTATCCATCCTCGTTCATTTCACTCCGTCCAGATGCCAGTTCAAGCAGCGACTGTGGAGGCACACTGGAATCTCTGGGTATTCGCCGTCGTCTGTCCTCCTCCAGGCCCGTTCCTCCTCCTCTATACTCCTCCTCCTCGTCTCCCTCGTCTTCCTCCTCTTCTCTTCCTCGAAGTGCGAAATTCCAATGTTGAGTTCATTCACTGTGTCTGGTCATCTTGGGCCTCTGGCAGGCTGCTCGTCGCCGCGGCTGGATCCGCCTCGAATGCTCGGCCCAGACGCACCCCAGGATGGGTCCAGCGACACAGTTTTGAGCCCCGACCCCGGAGCCCCTCGCGCCATGAGAAAAATGCGATGGTAGGCTTTCGTTGGCGGCTTCTTGGGCGGGGAGGGGGGTAAGGGGGATGTGTTCAGCACGTGTCTCTTTTGAGGTCTGGGCCACCTTTCCCCAGGACCGGCTCTTCGTCCTGGGCAGCTTTCTGACGGTCCCCTGGGCCAAGCAAGGGCTCCCCGAGGCCGAGAATCTGCAAAAATCTTCCGCCTTTCTTGTGTCGCAGCGAGCGGACGTGGGGTGCCCTGGGGTCGTCAACAAAGGGCACCTCGGGATGGGAATCGAGAGTCCAGGCGCGCCGTCGCCAGAGGGCCCGGGGGGAAGAGGAGGACGACCACGAACTCGGGGACTCGCGCTGTTCAGCGACGAGAAACTCGAGGGCAGAGGAGGAGGAGGATGAGGAGGAGGAGGAGGAACAGGAGGAAGGCGACGACGTCTCGTCGTCCTTGTTATGTTCGTCTTGCTTCCCGTCTTCCTCCTCCTCCTCCTCCTCCTCCTCCTCCTCCTCCTCATTCTTCTCATCACCATCCCCTTCCCCCGCCTCCTCAATTTCCTTCTCCTCCTCCTCCTGTCAATCCTCCTCCTCCTCCTCCTTCCCCTGTTCTTGGGGTTAGGCGGCTGGCTGATAGCATTTCTCTCGTCTGCGGGCTTGCGTCGGCTCAGCTGCGTTCCGTCGATTGCGTTCCGCCGTTTGCGTTGCGTCGGCCCAGCTGCGCCGCAGTCGGCTGCGTTCCGTCGGGCCGTTTCGGCCGGCCGCCGTGCTGCTGCCGCGTCACTGCACGGTCGGTTGTCGGTCTCGGTTTCGTGATCGGCTCGGTCCGTTGCACCGTCGCCGCTGACAGCTGTGTCGCCCCATGACCTTTCAAGTCTTCAAAAATCGAGGCGCGCAACGGCGTCCGAGGGCAGCTCTCGCCGGATTGCCGAGGCCATCAAAGAGTTGTCCAAGACGAGTGTGGGCGGCGCTGAGGCGAGAGCCGAAGTTTCAAAAATAATCCGCCCTCCATCCGTGAAGCGGTTGCCAAAATTGAAGCGTCATGATCATACATGGTGAGGATGTCTCAGGCGAAACGCCTCGCCCGCCTTTTCGACCAGCCTCAGGGTGCGTCGGGGAGGAGTTACTGGGAAGGAAAGGGACTGGAAGAGGAGGAGAAGGAGGAAGAGGAGGAGGAGGAGGAGGGAGAGATCCGACGCACGTTCGAATCCGATCCGATTTTCCGGCTCTTGCCCATCGCTGCCGTGCTATTTGTCCAGCTGTCCTGCTCTTCTCGGGCACCGAGGCTCCACAGCATCGACGTTTTAACACCAGTTCTGGGCCGCCTGGAACCCATCAGGGCCACAGGAGACATCCGGAGACCTTTTCCCCAGACATCTTTTGATTTGTTACGAGGCCGCATGCGCACCCTACCTCTACCCCCCACGAGTTCTGAGGTGGAGGGTGGGGTTCACTTCGCTTGGGAGCTCCCGAACGAAGTGAACCCCACCCTCCCTCTCAGAAATCCTGGGGGGTGGGGGTAGGGTTCGCATGTAGCCCCCCGTATGTGTTTTTCAATTCGCGGCCCCGGGGCCCCCGACCCCGTCCCCCGGGGCAGGTTCGCGCCCAGGGCCGATGCTTGATGGCTCCGGGGCCCGATGACGGGCCCCGCAGGCCGAAGCCAAGGGATAACGCCGCGAGTGGAAAAGGCATCCGGCCCTTCCTCCTCCTCCGCCTCCTCCTCTTCCCTCTGGCTGGTTGCCGCATTGCTCGGGCCCGTTTGTCCCCGCCTCGCCACTCCTGTCGCTCCTGTGCTGGCTCCTCTGGTGTGGCAGCTGTCCAGACGTTGGGCCTCCAGGTTGCGGCTCAGCCCTCCCCTCCTCCTGCGCACCTGCTCCTCGTTTACCGCGTGCTGATCTGCCCTGACTCTGCCGCCGCCTCGCGCGTCCTCTTCTCTCACCGCCTGTTCATCTTCCGTGTCTGCTCGCCCTCCCTGTCCTCCCGCTCTGCCCGTCCGCTCCCTCCTCGAGATGCCCAGCTCGTCGGAAGGGGAGGCCCCCGTGCCCCTGGAAATATCGTCATCTCCCGATCAGGTGGCACGCGTCGAGGAGGGGGCCGCGGGACTGCTCGGGATCGCGAGTCAGGGAAGAGATGTTGATGAGGAGGGGAGGACGAGGGGAAGAGGAGGAGGAGGTGGAGGAGGAGGAGGGGGATGGGGAGGAGGATTGGGATGGGTAGGATGAGCGGGGGAGGAGGAGGAGGAGGAGGAGGAGGAGGAGGAGGAGGAGGAGGAGGAGGAGGAGGAGGAGGAGGAGGTCAGGCCAGTGTTTCGAGGAAGGGCAGCGCAAACATGGATCAGGGCGCGTGGATTGGCGATTTGCCCCCCGCTTCCCTACGACATCAGCGCGCTCGCCATCGGGCGGCACCGGTGCCGTGCTTCGGGGGGGAACGTTTCCCGATCCGCGGCTCACGGATCCCAGTCCACGTCGGCGTGTGCCTACGTGTCACTCTGAGCACATTTGGAAGTCCGGCGCTCAGCCTTTCATCCACACACGGAGGAACAGGCCTCCTCGCAGGGGTAATGGAGGAGGAGGAGGAGGAGGAGGAGGAGGTGGTGGTGGTGGTGGCTGAGTTCTCGCGTCCTCGCCTTCTCGGGCGTCCGACATCCGAAGACGGCCCAGGGGTCTCCAAGATGGCCAGCGGACGGCCCCAGAAGCCCCCAATGGGGGCCCGAAGACGAGCCAACAGGGCCCCACGACGGCCAAGGGAGCTCCGAGAGCCACAGGAGGGCCCCAAGGCGGCCCTGAACCGCCCAACGAGGGCCTCACGACGGTCCAGAGGGGGCCCCCAAGTCGGCCTTCGAAGGCCCAGAGGCCCCTCGGAGACCCACCGACGCCCGCAGGTCTTGCGTTGTCTCTGCGCGCGAGCGCGGCTAGGAACGGAGAGGCCCCCTCCTCTTCTCACCCGCCCCGCGATACTCGAAGCTGCTCAAGGTTGGGTCCCTCGCCAGGGTAACTTGTTTGGAGCACGGCGTCACGTGTGCCATCGACTACATAGTTTAGCCTGACGCCCACCTCCTCCTCATCGTTGTGCTGCCTCCTTCATCCCCTCTCGGACTCCGCACGGGGGGGGGCCCAGCACATCCAGACCCACCCACCGCCTCCCTGGGGTCCAGGGGCGTCGGGCCCCTTATGCGATGGGTCTGGATGGCGCCCCGCCTCGCGGGCTCCGTCCGGGGAAGCCAGCGGGAATGTCGGCGGAAGCCGGCCTCCCAAGCAAAGACATTCGGGGGGAGATCCCTGTTCTGGCTCGCCTGGGCGAGCAGGAGCAGCAGAACTTTCTCTCAGGTGCTGCATGTACATGTCTGTGCTCCCTGAAGCGAGTCGCCTCACACACTCGTATCGAAGCCTGTGTCGGCGCTGGCTCGCGAGCGTTCCCGCCTTTTAGAGGACCCTCGAAAGTCAGGGATTCTGCGTGGGCGTTCACCCGCTCACCGCAGGGTTGACCATATCCATAACGTCGGGCTGGCCTGAAAGCTGTGAGATTTGCTTTTGTCGATGAGCGCCTCGAGAGTGCAGGGGATGAATTAACCAAATGTCTTTGGAGGCTATCTGAACGGAGGGAAATCGAGGAGGGGAGCAATGATGAATACTACCGCAGGGAGGAGGAACAGAAGCGGGATGGAAGTCTAAGCATGATGACGAAACGCACCTCTAGGGAGGAGGACTGCTGATGGGCGCCGCGAGAAGGGGAGGTGGGCACAGAGCCCCGTGGCGGGTGGAAGGCATATTGGGGGCAGCTTTGACTTGCTGCCTCTTTTGGCATCCCCTTCGTCATCGGCAAATCTAGCACAGTGATCGTTGTCTTATTCATTGTTTTGCCGATCGGCGCGGCCCCTCGCACCCCCTGCCCCCCCATGGAGTAAATCTTGGCAGTTTGGGGCGCCTGCTTCAAGCAGGTGGAGTCTCCCCCATTGGACGCACTGCTGCAAACAGTCGGATTAAGCAGAGGTCCAGAGCCAGATCCCCCCATCCCCCTTCCACCCAGTGCCGAAGCGCCGAATAAGAAGACGTTCACACAGTTCATCAGCGCTCAGTCTCATCGACGACTGGGGGCGCGCCCTCCCTGATGCCTGGGCGTCGCATTCTTCTCAGGCGCGTTCGCCCCGTTGGGGGCCCGAGGGGCCCTCACGGATCTGCGACCTGAGCGACGCCACAAACAGCTGGGGTGGAGAGGTCCGGTTGTGGAGTTCCACGGTGCTGTATTTTTTCGTGTTTTCTGAGCTCAGGGCTACTCCCCAAGATTCCTCTGGGGCTTCCAGGGCATGTTTCAAGAGGCAGCTGTTCGGTAGACTTTGGAAAGTTTGCCTACAGGGAGGGGGGGGGCGTGGAGAGGCCCTGAAGGAAATCCGGATCGATCTGGACTTCACGCAGGTCAGGACTCTTTTGCAGGCCTTTTCGGCCCAGCGCCGCTTGGAAAGGCGTCGGAGGGTGGGTGGGCGGGGGTGGACGGGAGGGTGGGGGGAGGGCCGACATGACCTTCGAGTGAGTTCGCTGGAGTTCAGAGCACAACGCCGCCACAACGCCCCGAAGATATTCCCAGGGGGTCCAGGGCACATTTCGAGAGGCGGGACGTGCACGAGTATATGCTAGCCGAGGCGACGACAGCGGGACCCTCAGCGAGCTGGCGCCACAGGGCCAGCCTGGTCATCACCTTGGCATCGCTCGAACGTGTGCATTTTTCCTTCGGCGAGGACCATCGAGGAGCATCCTTGATCATTTGGCGAAAAAACCACGCCCGAAACCGAAAAGAACACAGGGAATGGACGTCCGAGCGATGGCCAGTCACTCTTCGGCCTTTCGGGCCCCATTTTGGCCCTCGTGGCTGCCAAGCCAAAACTTGGGCTGGTGCCCAGGATGGGGTCGAGAGCCGGGGCCCCCCCAAGCCAGGACACTGCCATTCGGGGCTTGGAGGTGTTTCGACCGAAGCATGGCGAATGTGCCGCCCCACGGCCTCAACGTCCCCGGCGCGGCGAGGTCCTGGTTCACGAACGTCCCCGCTCAGGGGGCCCTGAGGAGAGGTCTGTGGGGCCCGCTCACGAGAGCCGTGACGTCGGATGCAGGGCAGACGCTCGGGCCGAACGAAAGGGGGGGATAGGGACAGGGGGGGGGGACGAAATCTGCTGCATGCAGCTGGTTTCCGCCCCGCCGCCGGGCCCATTCCTCGACACATGGGCGCCTCCCGGCGCCGGGAGGCGCTGGGAAAGTCAGCTACGTGAGCTGATTCTCAAGCCCCCCCCTTTGCTATCACCCCCTTTCGCCCAGCCCGAGGCGCGTGTTGCCTGATGTCTTTCCGGCTCTCTTCCCTCGCGTGGCCTGTTACGCTTCTCCACAGTCGGCTCGTGACCTCCTCATGCTCCATCCAGCCGTGCGTGTGTGTGTGTGTGTGTGTGTGTGTGTGTTGCCAGCTTCTGGGTATGCAGTCGTCTCGTCGAGGGCTAAGGTGTCGAGTTAATGGCTCCAGCCCGCCACGCGCTCCACCGAATCTTTGCCCGCTGACACACCCTAAGGAGACAGTTGTCATGAGCACTGCTTCGCTTCAGTCTGGAAGGCTGACGGAAAGGAGGAGGGGGGGACATAGCGGTGCATGTGACGGCGACATACGGTTGAGAAAACAATGCAAGATGATGAGAATGAGAAGAGCTCTAGAGACGTAGACGAGAAAGAAGCGAGAGGAACAATTATGAGGAGAAGGAGGAGGAGGAAGAGGAGGAGGAGGAGCAGGAGGAGGAGGAGGAGAAAGAGAAGGAGGCTGGCATTTCTCTGCCTACGTTCCATCCTCCTCATCATCATCCCATCACATTCATTGCCCTCCTCCCCGTCCTTTATGACCCCTCCATGCTCTCATCCTGCCTCATTCCTCCACTCGCCCTATCTCCATTACCCCTGATCCCCTTCTCGCGCTCTCCATCGATGTCGTTCTCTATCCACCATTGATCCTCTCCGTTTCTCTCGCTCCTCCCCGTTTCTCCTCTTGCTCCTCCTCATCCCTCTCTCCTCACCACCCCCATCCCTCCATCCCTCCCTCTGGCCATCCGCCCTGCCTCATCCACCCTTCCTCGTCCCTCCTCCAGCCTCTCTTCACTTCGCCCCTCTCCTTCCTCCGACGACTGCGACAACCTTAGTCCCACCCGGCAGTTGACAGCTGCAGACCCCGACCCTTCCGTGGGGACATGCCTTACGTCCCGAGCAGTTCTCTCTGGCAGCCCCGGGCCCCTCGGGCCTCGAACACGGCCCGCTGGGCCGAAGGCCGCGACAAGCCCTCCGCCATGCTTTTTGCTAATTTTCCACACGATGGGGTATGGCGTTCGGGTCGTGGCTCGGATATCCAGCTGCTCTTAGGACGACCCGGGCATCTCCAGAACCCTCTCGGCGAGGCGCAGCTGCTGAAGAGCAACCCGAGGCAAGGAAGCTTCTGGGAGCCAAAGAAACGTCCGAAAGCTCTCTGGTGAGAGGAGGTCTGCGCCCGACGGCTATTCGACAATGAAGCTAAGACAATCGGTTGGACGATCAGAGCAAGTCGATGCAGCTTTTTGTGAGTATCGGGCCGACGTTTCGTCCCCTGCGGGGCTCTTCTGAGACAAATTGGCTACTGAGGATGCGCCCGCCGAGTTTCCCGGTCGACTGAATTTACAAAACGGCTGCCGTGGGCAACGTTTGCATACAACAAAATCTTATACTGAACTATTGTTTAATGTCCATGTATATTTACATACATCTATAGCATAATGCTCATCCAGCGCTTAATGTAGCCCAACTTTTTATGGAGCGCGCCGACGTTGGCCAGATTAAGAGTTCCGGACAGGCCCAAAACCTTCGTGTTCCCTGCTCTCACCGTTTCAAACCACGATTTGCCGAAACGACGTGCAAGCTATAGTCCCAGCTTGCGTGAAGTCCCGATTTCCGATTCCCTCTCGGGCCTCGCCGCGCCCCCCCTTCGCCCTTGCACGCAGATGTTCGGGAGTTTTCAGAAAAATGGCTTTTGCTTCTTGGAACATGCCATGGAGACCCCAGAGGAATCTTGGAGAGGAGTCCTCGAGATCCGACGTCACGAGAAAAGCGCCACATCGGGGATGACCACAAGCTGACCTCCCCGCCCATTCAACGCATGCAAACATGCCAGCGTCCAAAGACAAATCGCCTCCGAGGCCCTTCAATGGGCTGGCGTCCGGGATGGGAGTGGGAGGCGCGGGCGCGGCAGCCCGTCATCTCCTACGGGTTCCCAGCGCAGGAGCGGGCCAGAGGGGGGGGGGCAGGGCGTCGCGCGCGCCTATCCGTGGCTGCAGGCCTCCCAGATGGGGTCCGAGCCGATGGGGTCCGAGGATCTCACGTCGCATCGTCGATGCATCGGCAACGCGGCTCGATGTGTGGAGCTCGCTGGCGTCGCCGATGTGTCACCGACGTCGCCGAGACATCGGTGATGCATCGATGGTGCGGCGCGATACTCCGACCCCGTCTATTCCGACCACATCTGGGAGGCCTCCGCAGCGGGGGGGCGTCGGGGGCGTTCAAGAGAGGGGGTGGAGTCAAGGGGGGGGGAGTCCATGAGGGAAAGGGGGGCAATGATGTTCTCGTCGTCGAGAAAGGGGATCCGGAGGTTGTTGCTGGTTCTTGGAGGCTATCTCTACCCTTGGATGCTTTCCAGCAGCTGTGCTTCGCCGAGAGTCCCGGGGGGTCCCAGATCGTCTCGAACGGCCGCCTGATGGCACAGTCCACACGCGGCTCCCCGCCCACCGCGTGTCCATGCCGTCACACCCCTCTCCTGCTTCGTGGTCCCGAAGCGAGGTTCCCCTCCCTCGTCCCACCTTCCTTGCGGTATTCACCATTGCACATGGTTGGGTTTCTCGCCCGGCCAATTTTTTGCCGCGGGGGGCACTCAACGGGCCCGGGGATTTTAAAAGAACGACTCAGGATGAAACGACCGCCCCGCGGAGGGGGTCGAGGGGCTGGAGGACCAGGGGCGTGTGGACCTCATGGCCAGGACCAGGAGGTCTCCTGGGCCTGGCGGCCTCTCCACCTCCCCTCGCGGTACGCTCCCTGGCCCCCCGCCCCCTCGTCCGCGCCTCATGATGAGAGCCGTTCCGTTCTTGAGACGGGGGAGGAGCATCGGGCGCAGCCTTCTGCAACGCATTCACAGTGAAAGCGTCAGACGCAGGGGGGAAGGTGACCACTTGGAGGAACGCGGATATCCGTGGGGAGACTGGGGGGGTAGGAAAAGAGCGCGGAGGGAGACTGCGAGGAGGAGGAGGACGATGGCGAGGAGGAGGAGGAGGAGATGGAGTAAGGGTGCGAGCTGGAGGTAGAGGAGGAAAAGGTGGAAGATCTTCTGACCTGTGGCAGTGATGTGTCACTCGTGATCGGCGGTCGGGCCCAGAAGCGGGAATTAGGCTTCGCGTATTGCTTGCAGGTCGAGTCCGCACTGAGGCTTCTTTCCCCCGGGCCGAAGATCGGCGGCGAGCGAGGAGGGGAAGCGAGAAGGAGAAGGCCTTCTTTAGAAGGCGGCAAGGCTTCTCAGAAGCCCTTGCGCCTTCTGATAGGTTTTTTTGTATCGTCGGGGAAGACTTCTCGGAAGGCTGGGTACCTTCCGAACCTTCTGAGAAGGCCCGCCCCTTCTCACTTCCCCCCTGGGCGCGCCGCCTAGACGACCCGCGCGGGTTCAGGTCTGCGATCACTCGTTGTTGTTTTTTTGTTCGGGGAGGCCCAGCTGGCTTCCAATAGCACCCTTCGCGAGTCCCGGCGGGCGCCCCATGCGGCTCCAGCCTGGACCGAAAAGCCAGGGGTCCCCCTTGGGTCAGGGCGAGTTTTGGCCTGATCCGAGGGTGTTGCAGACACCCCGCTGAGAGAGTGATGCATCTTGCAGCGCAGTGCGTTCGCCACCGAGGTGCCTTGCTGCCTTGCCCCCATGGAGGGGGGATGGGCAGCAGAGAAGGGCAGGAGGATGGATGATGAGGATGAGGAGAAGAGGGACAAGAGTAATCCCAAACTGTGTCAACGATGCTGCAGTGCGCCCATCCGTCCCAGCCCTCTTCCTCACCGGCCCCCGGGAGAACTCATTCTCGCTGCTGTAAGCGATCCGTTCAAAGATGATCGTCTTGTGGAGGGAATGCCCCGTTTTGATCAGGGGGGAAAAACACACAGACACAATGAATCGTCGATTCCCCAAACGATATGGGAAATATGGGAAGTGGGGGGGAAGACGAAAACCCATAAAATTTAGGAACATCTGGGGAATCCTCTTATTTGTGTGTATTTTTTGTGTGTCCCAGGGCCCCTTCGTATTTCTATATATATATATACATATATATATATATGTATTTAAATAGCTGGGGGCATGGAAGTGTCAAACGACAGTTCTGTTTGGAGATGACGCCGCCCTCAATCCAGCGCCCAGGCGAGGATTACATTTTGAAGCCAGACCGCCTTCACATCCGTGCATTGGTTGGAAACTTGTATGACGAGTGGGCGCCGGACTGAGACACGAGCCTCATTTGAAAACCACCCCACCCCAGCCGTGTAACTGTGGATCGTGCTCAAAACGAATGTGCGCGGCGCTACGGCGAGAGTCACATGTTGAAAACGACCCCCCACATCCGCTTAACACTTGAACGCTGTTGGGACGAATGTGCGTGACGCTGGGGCGAGAGGCAAAGTTGAACACCACCCGTCCTCCATCCGCGTAACTGTCGGGAGCTCCGACCACAGTTTGGCAAAGACTTCCCCTTCATCCGCGTGGCCGTTGGAAAACTGCGAGCGTCGGGGCCATAAGCTGGGAGGAATTTTGCCAGGCGAAACGCCCAGCTAGCCTGTACTGACACGTAGGATGGCCAGACGCAGAGAAGTCTCATTGATGCCCCGAGCGGTGCTACGTACGTCGGGGTTCTCACCTCCCTCACGAAGCAAGCGTACCTTGGCATCGCTCGGACGTGTGCGTTTTTTCCTTCGGCGAGGACCATCGAGGAGCATCCTTGATCATTTGGCGAAAAAGAACCACGCACGAAACCGAAAAAACACAGGGAATGGACGTCCGAACGATGGCCAAGTGTGCGGGTCCCCCGAGGATTTGTTCCACGTGCGCGCCCGTGCCGCCCTCGTGGGCGCTCCGTGCCCCCGGGCGGGTCTCCGCGGAGGTTTTCCCCGACCTGGCGGAGGGGTTCCCGTTTAGTGCCCCCCTGGGGGGGTCTGGGGGGGGACCCCCCGGGACAGGGCCCCGGCTACGGGCGGAACGCCGGCGGAAGACGGCAGAACACCGGCAGGACGTGGCAGGACGCGGCAGGACACTGCACCATTTCTGCAGACGCGCTTCCGGGAAGCACGGACGGCCCAAAGATGGTCAACAAGATGGTTCAAGAAGGCCTCGAGTCGCCGAAAGATCGGCCCCAGACGCCCGAGATGGCGTCCCGACGGCCCAGGGAGCCCCCAAGACGCCCCGAGAGGCCCCCAATAGGCTTTCCAGGAGAGCCCGAAACATTACAAATCATTGGTTTTCCTTGGGTTTTTGAAGGGTTTGGGGGATTTTGCATTTTCGGCTTCCCGCCGCTCCAAGACGGCCCAAGAGATCCCAAAGAACGCCCCAAGACAGCCTCAGAGACCCCCAACAGAGCGCTCAGACGGCTCAAGACGTCCTCAAGACGACCCAAGAGGCCTCCAAGACGGCCTCACAACTGTTCCAGGCACGCCCCAAGAGAGCCCCCAGAGCGGAGGCAGGGGCCGATGTTTCGTGTTCTCCGCCCCAATGACCCTTCCAGAAGCCCCCAGAGACGCCCACTATGGCGTCCCGACGTCCAGGGAGCCCAAAAGACGCCCCGAGAGGCCCCCAAAAGGCTTTCCAGAAGAGCCCGAAACGTAACAAATCTTTAGTTCCCCTTAGGTTTTTGAAGGGATTTTTGGTTTTCGCCTGTTCGGCTTCCCGCCGCTCCAAGACGGCCAAAGAGATCCCAAAGAACGCCCCAAGACAGCCTCAGAGACCCCCAACAGAGCGCTCAGACGGCTCAAGACGTCCTCAAGACGACCCAAGAGGCCTCCAAGACGGCCTCACAATTGTTCCAGGCACGCCCCAAGAGAGCCCCCAGAGAGGAGGCAGAGGCTGATTGTTCGTGTTCTCCGCCCCAATCGCCCCTCCAGAAGCCCCCAGAGACGCCCAATATGGCGTCCCGACGTCCAGGGAGCCCAAAAGACGCCCCGAGAGGCCCCCAGAAGGCTTTCCAGGAGAGCCCGAAACGTAACAAATCTTTAGTTCCCCTTTGGTTTTTGAAGGGATTTTTGGTTTTCGCCTGCTCGGCTTCCCGCCGCTCCGAGACGGCCCAAGGTGCCCCAAAGAACGCCCCAAGGCAGCCTCAGAGACCCCCAACAGAGCGCTCAGACGGCTCAAGACGTCCTCAAGACGACCCAGGAAGCCTCCAAGACGGCCTCACAACTGTTCCAGGCACGCCCCAAGAGAGCCCCCAGAGCGGAGGCAGGGGCCGATTTTTCGTGTTCTCCGCCCCAGTGACCCCTCCAGAAGCCCCCAGAGACGCCCAATATGGCGTCCCGATGCCCCAGGGAATTCAAAAGACGCCCCGAGAGGCCCCCAAGACGCTTTCCAGGAGAGCCCGAAACATTAAAAGTCATCGTCTGTCCTTAGGTTTTTGAGAGTTTTCGCCTGTTCGGCTTCCCGCCGCTCCAAGACGGCCCAAGTGGTCCCAAAGAACGCCCCAAGACAGCTTCAGAGACCCCCAAGAGAGCGCTCAGATGGCCCAAGACGTCCTCAAGATGGCGCAAGAGGCCTCCAAGACGGCTTCCCAAGCGCCACAGGCACGCCCCAAGAGAGCCCAAGGGAGCCCCTGGAGCGGAGGCAGGGGCTGATTTTTCGGGCTCTCTGCCCCAATGACCCCTCCTGAGGCCCCCAGAGGTTCCCAAGAAGCCCCCAAGAGGCCCCAATAACCCCTGCAGAGGCCCAAAGAAGCCCCCAAGAACCCTCCAGAGGCTTCCGGCAAACCTCTAGAAACGCCCAAGATGGGCCGAGCACTACCCCAGGAGAGCCCCAGGACGGCTGGAGGCGCCTCGACAAAGCTTCACAGCGTCAAACTGACAACACGGGAACCTGATAAGATCCCAAGTGACGCCCATGCAGACCCCAAGAGGCCTCAAGGCCTCAAGACGCCTCCAGAAAGCCCTGACAAGCTTCCAAGAGAGCCCCAGGACTGCCCCAAGATTTCAGGACTGCTGGAGGCGCCTCGACAAAGCTTCAGAGCGACAAACGGACAGCCCCAGGACTCCCTCAGGAGGGCACCAGGACGGCTGAAGGACCTGAGGAGGCCCCAAGAGGCCCCCAAGCATCACAACGACAAACGGACAGCCCCGAGATTTCCTAGCTCGTATGGAATTTTCCTGAGCTCACCTTACGCTTTACGAGGGCTTCAGCAAGTCGCCAGAAGCGCACAACAGGGCATCAGGACAGCCCCAAGAGGGCCCCACGACGGCTGGAGGCGGCGCCTCGACAAAGCGTCACGGCGTCAAACGGAGAACGCGGGAACCAATGCAATGCGCGTTAAGCAGCACAGCGTCAGTCGGACCACACGGGAACCAATGTAATGCGCATTCTGGCCTTCCTCTTATGGGCTCGCATGGAAACGAGCTGAGCTCACACCGTGGCTCGCATGATCGCGTTCTGAGCTCACCTCCAAGATGCACCATTGTTTATCTGGCCGCCTTTCCCTCTGGACAGTTGTCGCAGAGAAACCCAAGCGACTTTCCGTATTGCCAGACGGCCTTACAAGAAACCTCCAGGAGGCTTCAATACGGCCGCATGCGGCTCCCGACCGCCGCAAGTTGTCCAATACAGTCCTCATATAGTCAGACACGTCCCCGACACAACCTCCAACCAAACCCGACGGCCCCCAGGAGCCCCCAGACCCTCCAAACTCAATCTTCTCGCCCGTCATATGCAACCGCGCCCCCTCCCTTACCTGTCGCTCGCATGGAAGCGTGCTGAGCTCACCTCGTGACTCGCATGGTCGCGAGCTGAGCTCACCCCATGTGGCTCGCATGGGCACGTGCTGAGCTCACCTCGTAACTCGCCTAGTCGCGCACTTCCAAAACGCATCGTCGTTTTCTTGACCACCTTTTCTTCAGAAACGTTCCCGACACCACCTCCGACGAAATCCGAGGTTTCGGTTTCTCGGCCCCAATAACCCATCCAGGGGCCCCCAGGAGCTCCCAAGAAGTTCCCAAGAGGCCCCAATAACCCCTGAAGAGGCCCCAAGAGGCCCCCAAGAACCTTCCCGAGGCCTCCATCAAGCCCCCAGCAGCGCCCAAGATGGGCGCAGCACTGCCCCAAGATAACCCCAGGATGGCTGGCGGTTCCTCGACAAAGCCTCACAGCGTCAAACGGACACCACGGGAACCTGATGAGACCCCAAGAGACCCCCAAGAAGACCCCAAGATGCCTCAAGGCCTCAAGACGCCTCCAGGAAGCCCCCAGAAGCTTCCAAGAGGGCCCCGGGACTGCCCCAAGACCCCAGGACTGCTGGAAGCGCCTCGACAAATCACCAGAGCGACAAACGGACAGCCCCAAGACTCCCTCAGGAGGGCCCCAGGACGGCTGAAGGACCTGAGGAGACCCCAAGAGGCCCCCAAGACGACCCCAACAAGCCTCACGACCTCACCGCGCCTCCAGGAAGCCCCCAGAAGCGCCCAAGAGGGCCCCAGGGCTGCCCCACGACTCCAGGACTGCTGGAAGTGCCTCGACAAACCTCACAGCGGCAAACGGACAGCCCCGAGACATCTTAGCTCGTATGGTAATTTCCTGAGATCACCTTAGGAGGTGTCCAGCAAGAGCCCAGAAGCGCCCAACAGGGCCTCAGGACAGCCCCAAGAGGGCCCCACGACGGCTGGAGGCGCCTCGACAAAGTGGCACAGCGTCAAACGGACAACACGGGAACCAGCAGAATGCGTCCTATATGCATCATCTTGTTCGTTGTTCTCTGTCTCGCAATTCACGCCCACTTGTTCTCCAAGGTCGGGGTTCGTGACAATATCAGGTTCGCCGCGTTCCCGCCCGTGCCGTCTCGTGGGCGTTTGTGGGCACCCCGTGTTCTGCGTGGGCAACACAGCTTACGCAACCTGCCCTACACCACATAGAATACACCGCATAGCTCACACCATATGGGCCACACCGCATACCTTACACAACACAGCTCACACGTGGCTTGCACTTCATAGCTCACACCTCGTATGCACCTCACACCACACAGCTTGCACAACATTGCTCACACCACATAGCTTACTCCGCACAGCTCCCGCCTCCACAGTGCAAGAAGGAAAAGGGACGGAGGCGGGTCCCGGAGAGCCGTCCCCTTGCAAGGCGCCTGTCGTGATGCAGCCCGAGAGCGCTGCGGAGGGCGACAAGAGCCCGCCTCAGAGTTGTCACACCGCAGGGAGGAGGGACGAGGAGAGAAGAGGAGGGGGAGGAGGAAGCGGAGAACGACAGGTAGGCGATGAGGGAGGAGGAGGAGGAGGAGGAGGAGGAGGAGGAGGAGGAGGAGGAGGCGGATGAGCAGAAAGGGAAACCGATGATGATGAGGAGGAGGAGGAGGAGGAGGAGGAGGAGGAGGAGGAGGAGGAGGAGGAGGAGGAGGAGGAGGAGGAAGAGGTTAAGAGCCAGGAAGCGGAGGCGCGGGGAACACGGAGGAGGAGCGGGAGAGTGCGATGGAAAATGGAAAGGGGATGGGATTGAGAAGGGGGAGGGCGAACGCGGAGGGTGGAAGGATAATTCATATCTCTAGCCTTTTGAAGCATCAAGGCTGGTGTGTTGCCTTAATTTCTCCATCCAGGGGCAGCTCCGGGGCGCCCCAGGACCACGAGGCAGCGGGGAATCTGTCGAGAACGCGAGGCCAGCGAAGGAAGAGAAGTCAAAGTCGAAGAGCTGGCAATGCTGAGCAGCAGGAGGAGGAGGAGGAGCTGGTGAGGAGGGAACCATTATCTAACAGCGCCGTGTCCAGCAGGCGGGGCTGGTCCGCAGTTGCCCCACCTGGCGCTGCTCCAGGCTTGCAAGACGCCAGAGGTCCTCTCAACGATCCCTTCGGAGGGGCCCTGAAGCAGCCAGAGCGGCTCGGCGCGCGCAGACGTTCGTGCACATGCAGCTGGGCGCGGGCCGAGGTGTCGGCCCACTTCGGACACCCTGGGGATGATGTGGCCGGCGTTTGGGGGGGCAACGCGCTGGCTCTGGCCGCGTCCGCGGCCCCAGGGGGCCGCAGGGGGTGTATGCAGGCCGCATGGCACACGCCGTCCCTCAAGCCGGCCCGGTGGCGTCGAAGCCCCAGGTCACGCGCGCATCTGCAGCCTTTTGTCCAAGCCGCTGACCCCCCCCGCAGGGTCCATTTCGATCAAATCGATCCGATCCGATGTCGAATTCACCCGGTTCGATCCGATTCGATTTCGACCAGTTTGCGACCCGATGCGTCCCGATGCTTGCACGGCGTAGTTGTGTATCCGGGTCTGCCGACTCGATTCGATTTCGATCCCGAGCCGATTCGGCCCGGCTCGATGTTCGTTCCGATCTGATCCGATATCGCGGTTCGGTTTCCCGATCTCATCTTGCCCCCGATTTCCACAGTCTGCAGGACCCCGCCAGACGCGCGGCGCGCCCCATGGCGCTCTCAGTCCTCGACGATCGCTCGGCCCGGACGAAGGTTGCGGCCTGCGTGGCCGCCTCTGGTGTGGCGCTGGCGACGGGCAGCTGGCTCCGCCGCCTGCGATGGAGCGCCAAGCAGCAGGAGCTCAACGCCCAAGCGCCAGCTCTCCCGGCCGATGCCGACCTGCTCCGCGTCGGCTTCTCGGCCAAGAAGTTGCCGAAGCACATCGACCACGTGATCATCGGCAGCGGCCTCTCGGGGCTCTACACGGCGGCCCTCCTGTCCAAGCTCGGCCGCAGCGTGGTTGTTCTCGAGCAGCACTACGTTGCCGGTGGCTGCACGCACACCTTCAAGGACAAGGGCTTCGAGTTCGACACTGGGGTACACTACGTCGGCTCCGCGACCCAGCTGTGCGCCTTCATGGACTTCGGCGCGGGCCGCCGTGGCGCCTTCAGGTTGCAGCGCCAGGGGGAGGACGACGGCTCCGAGGTCTACAACGAGTTCCACGCGGGAGGCAGGTGTGTGCACCGCTACCGCCCCGGCAGCCGCACCTTCGTGGAGGACCTCGCCGCCAAGTACCCCGGCGACGAGCGGGCCCTCCGGAGGTTCTTCCGGGCGCTGCGGGCCTCCGGCAGCGGGCTGGGCCTGGCCGCCGCCAGGCACTTCCTGCCCGCCTGGCTGTGGAGGCTGCTGCTGAGGCTCCCCGGGCCCGTCCGGCTGGTGGCCTCCCGCTACGTCCAGCGGAGCTTCGCCCAGGCCGTCACCGATTGTGGCATCCAGGACGGCATGCTGCGGGCCACGCTAAGCGCCGAGTTCGGCGACCACGGCATGGTCCCCGAGGAGGCACCCTTTTGCCTGCAGGCCGGCGTACTCGCGCACTACATGTCGGAGGGCGGTTTCTACCCCCTCGGCGGCAGCGACGCCTTCGCCCAGGTGCTCGTGGACGCAATCTTCAAGAACGGCGGCAGGGTGTTCGTCCGAGCTCCCGTTGCCAAGATCGTCGTGGAGGGTGGCCGCGCGGTCGGTGTCGACATGGCCGGCGGCAAGGGCGTGATCCGCGCCGCGAGGTCGGTGATCTCGAGCGCGGGCGCGGAGGCCACCTACCGCAAGCTGCTGGACGACGTAACGGTGGCCGAAGAAGAAAATATGCCTAAACCCAAACATTTGGAGCTCCACGCGGATTTCTTGGATCTGCGCTGGGACCCCCTGGCGGCGCCTCCCGCGCCGCCCCTGGCGCGCCCCGCGCGCCAGGGGAGGGGGTCCTGCGCAGCGCCGAGAAATCCGCGCGGAGCTCCGAGTGTTTCTGTTTGCGCAACTTCACGCGTCACCACTTCCAGGAGCCCGGAGGGCACGCAGGAAGCCACAGGGGACACGCGGGAAGCCCCAGGGTATTTCGGAATTTGGGGTTTGGGCCCTTGGGAGATTTTTCAGGAGTGAGGATTGAGGCTTAGAGCATTAAGGCAAACGACCTGAGGACATGCCCACTCCGTGCCCAGAGGCTCGGTAGCGGATGCTGGTTTCCCCTGGCCCAGGTGGAGAAGGTGGGCGGGGTGCCGCAGAGCCTCTTGGAGACTGAACAGGGCAGGGCGATCTCCCACCACGTGTACGGCTTCGTCGGCTTCGATGGCACGACCGAGGAGCTCGGGCTGCCGACCTACAACATCTGGAGCCTGCCCACAGGTCAGAAGGTGAAAAGATACCGATACCGCTGCCTCTCCCTCGTCGCCGCGGCTGCACTCGCCTGGAAAATCTGGTCAGAACGCACACCTGGAGATGACAAGGGGGGTAGCGGCATCGGCACTTCTATGCGTCCTCGACAGGTCCAGGCGTTTCGGACCCGAGAGACATTTCGGCCAGTTGGAACCAGCTCTTCGGCTCAGCGCGCGGCGAGTTGCCCTTCTTTCTGGCCAGCGATGAGGCCGCGAAGAGGGCGCAGGTGCCGTGCTTCATGTCCTTCCCGTCCGCGAAGGACACCACATACAAGGAGCGCAACCCTGGCAAGTCCGTCGCCGTGCTCCTCACGGAGAGCAATGCTGACTTCTTCGGCGAGGTAGGACCGCACAACAAGCGCGGCGAAGAGTACGCCACCATCAAGAGGCGGTACCCTGGAATCCGAGGTCACGAAAAAGTTGAAACATCGTAACTAACCAGACTTGACCTGAGCCCTGGTCCCCGTCTTTCTGCTCCATCGTTCGAGCCTGATCAACCCGTGAGGGCCCCCGAGGCCGAAACAAGGCACACTCGCCCGTTTGTAGTAAAAGTGCGATGCCAAGATCTCAAGGTACGAGCATGTCTTCCTCAATTCTTTGTACCACTACTTCCCGCAGCTCAAGGGGAAGGCGACCTACGTGGATGTCGGCACACCCTTCTCAAACGAGCTCTACCTCGAGCGAAAGAGCTCCTACGGCCTGAGCCACACCTCTGAGCGCCTCCTCGACCCCACCCTGCGCATCTCGGTCGCGGGGGTGAGCGGTCTTTTCCTCACGGGCCAGGACGTCCTCTGTGACGGGGTCTTCCCTCAGGTTCTGGAAATGAGAGAACTGCACAAACAGAAACTTTCGAAGTTTCGTGTGGACTTCTTGGATCGAGCTTGGCCCACCCCTGGCTGCGCCTCTGGCGCCGATTCAAGAACTGCGCGCGGAGCTCCAAAAGTATGTGTTCATGCCGTTGTTTTGCTCATCTCAGGTCTTGACGGCGTGGATGACTGTTGCTAAGGTCGTGGGCGTCACGTCTCCCGATTTTTGGTTGCTGTTCTGCGGCTTCGTCGCATCCGTCGGGCGGCGGTGTCTTTTCGACAGGACCTACCAGTCCAAGAACCCGTGAGCACGTTTGTTAGATGCTCATTTGGGGGACCTTCTTGGGACCCAACTAGCGGATCAGTTGGACTCAAGTTCGATTCTGGTTCGACTCCAGCTTGACTCCAAATCACTCAGCTTCGACTCGAGACGACGGGCGTTCGACGCAGCATCGACGCATGAGTGGAGCGAGTGGCTCCAGGAATGTCCCAGAAGGAGCACCTGAACTTGCCATGCGCGGTCTACAGACCCCAAGCCGCCCCGTGGCGGACACCTTCGCGCCTCGGTCCACTTACGCATGCCACCGCCGGCGTCCGTCGCTGCCTCGGTGCTCGAGGGAAGTCTGCGAGGCCTCGTGGCCCCAACGCTGCGCGGAGCGACGCGTGGCCGAGGCTCCAGTCAGCCTGGGGGCAGCGCGGTGACGTCAGCCTCGGCCGCTCGCCGTGCCAACCCGCAGCCTCCTGCCGCTTGTACAGGGCACGACACCTGTGCCACGCACCTGCCTGCGCTCGCTCGGCGAGGGCCGAGGGCGAGCCGAACGGCCAGCGACAGCACCTCGCCCTCCTCACTTCTTCAGCCAAGTTCGGGGAGACGTACGAGCTGATGAGGAAAGGGCACCGGTACCTCTACCCTTCCATGGTTCTCGGCGCCCGGGCTGGATTCACCTGGAAATCATGTTCACAGCGCACCCTGGGAGGGGTCTGGGGATTAGCGGTATCGGTAAACTTTTGCTTCCCCAGTGAGGCTAGAGTTTGCCCGAGCTCGAGCCTGCCGCCACCTTGTTGTGGGCGGTCCCGGCCTGAGTTCTGGCGGTCCAGTCTTCACGTGGGATGCTTGCAGCTGGAGCTCGCCCCGAATTGCAGACTAGGGACTAGGTCCCGCCATTCTTCTCCCAGCCCCGTCAGGAAAGCCCGAGTCCCGCAGCTTCAAGATTTACGTCTCCCCGACAAGTCCCGACCCTCATGCCCCAGCTTCTTGGCAAATGCAAGGGAACAGCGCGGGGGCAGACCGGAGCATACAGCATTCGTTGTTCCAAACCCGTTCCAAATCGTTACGCGCGTAGGCGGGCGGCGGGATCGGAGTGGCGAATCCCACCTCTCGTAGAAGGACCAGCTGCATAAGCATAAACTGTTGGGTGTCCGCACGGATTTTGTTGGATCGACGCTGGACCCCCCCCCCGTCAGGGAGGGGGGCCAGCGCAGATCCAAGCAATCCGCGCGGAGCGCCAAAAGTTTATGGTTATGACGGTTCTTCTTCTTCTTCTAATCCGGTCGTTGTTGTCAGTCCCAGGGCCTGGCGAGTGCGCCCAGAGGCCGAGAGTCTGCAAGACCGTCCACCGTGAGTCGTGCACGAGAGGACGTCCGGGGGACGAACGCGTGGCCGAGGCTCCAGTCAGCCTGGGGGCAGCGCGATGACGTCAGCCTTGGCCGCTCGCCGTGCCAACCCGCAGCCTCCTGCCGCTTGTACAGGGCACGACACCTGTGCCACGCACCTGCCTGCGCTCGCTCGGCGAGGGCCGAGGGCGAGCCTGCCGCCACCTTGTTGTGGGCGGTCCCGGCCTGAGTTCTGGCGGTCCTGTCTTCACGGGGGATGCTTGCAGCCGGAGCTCGCCCCGAATTGCAGACTAGGTCCCGCCATTCTTCTCCCGGCCCCATTCGCCCTCCAGCCTTCTGAGAAGCCATCCGTGGCTCCGGAGAGGGCCGGCCAGTCTTTTTCAGAAGGCGCGAGGGCTCTGAGAGGCCCCGCCGCCGTCCGAGCAGGCCTGCTGCGGGCTCGCCGCCGAACGCGGGAGGGCACCGCTCCGCGAAGGCCCACCGGATGGCGGGCCGCATCACAGAAGCTCGAGCATCGAGCTGTGCGCCCGCCTCGGCCGGAGCAAAAGGCAGGAGCAGCGAGCGCGACGCGCCCAGAGGCAACGGCCGGCGCCCTCCTGGGGACGGTGCTCGCAGTCGTCGTTTGCCAGCAGCTCCCTGGCATCCCCTCGTGGAGCGGCGGAGGATTCCTGCTCAGGTTCGGCCTCTGGTTCCCTCTCCAGGGCTGGACCTAAACGGTGTTTTTGGCGATTTCGTGGGCCGTGTTCGTTTCGACTTCGGGTAAACGAAAACAAAACGAAAACGAGAAACATGGTTTAGGTCCAGCCCTGTCCCTCGCCGCGCTCCCTGGGGCCGCGAGAGAGCGGCTCGGAAGGGAAACGACGCTCCCGGGGAAGGAGTACAGTCACGACGTCGGGTGTCTGGGATGCTCGGGTAGTGCCTGCCGTGCGCCCAGGATCATGCCGCCTTCCCTCACCCTGCGCTCCCTAGCCTAGCCTTGAGTTAGGCATTTCCCTCTACAGGACGAAAATTCAAAAGTAGTTCAAACAGTCTGGAGACGATATTTTGACTATTCTTGACCATTTGGGGGGGCATGTTTTGATTGTGTTATCTTTCGTCCTGTAGGAAGACATGCCCGACCTAACCCTGGCCATCCGCAGGGTCCATGTCGGTCCGACCGATCCGATTCGATGTCAATTTCAGCTGGCCCGCTCAAATTCGATTCCGTCTTGTTGTCGGTCCGACGCGGCCCGAAGATTGCGCGGCGCTGCTCTGCCTCCTGGTGCGGCCGATCCGATTCGATTCTGACCCCGCGCCGTGGTCCGACACCACTCTCGTTCCGATCCGCTCCAGTGTTCCGCTTCGGTGCCGACGGATCCCTGATCGTTTGGCCCGTGCGCGGGCCCGAGTGCCCCGCGGGGCTCGACCGAACGCTGTTTTGGCAGCTTCGTGGGCCGTTGTCGTTCTGATGCTGCTTTGCCGCAGAGGCGGAACGAACACGAAGCGAGGGCTAGCAAATACAGAGCTAGGACGGAAAAGACCGTTTGGGTGGAGCCCCGGGGCTCCGCGTCCACAGCTCGCCGGGCCTCCCCGCGGGCGCTGCCCGCCTCCCCCCCCCTCGCCGCGGCCGAGAGGGGGGGGCGGGCGCCGCGCCCATCTGGCGCATCGCGCCTGTGACGACGACGACGACGACGACGACAACGACGACGACGACGACGACGACGACGACGACGACGACGACGACGACGACGACGACGGCGGCGGCGGCGGCGGCGGCGGCGGCGGCGGCGGCGGCGGCGGCGGCGGCGGCGGCGCGGCCGCCGCTGTGGAGTCCAAGCCGCAGGCAGGGCATCTCAGAGGAGGGCGCGGCGAGGCCTCGGTAACGTTCGGTAACGGTTGCCTTCGAGGAGCCCTTGGGCGCCAGAGACGGGAGCGCAGCAAACGGGGGCACGGGGAACGCCGACTTCCACGGTTGGCGATGCCCCCGTGTAGGGGCCCTTGGGCGACGTAGTCGGGGGCACAACAAACTGGGGCACGTGAAAAAGCCCAGGTCCCCGTGTAGCTAAACCCCCGTCTAGGGAGCCCCGAGGGGCCCCCTCGTCGCCATGGCCGGGCGCAGCTCGGAGAGCTTGGACCGTTGCCTCAGCGCGCCCTGCCTCCAGGGCAGGAAGGACGGGGACGGCCAGTACAGAGGGAGACGGGAGGCGCGTGCCACCGCTTCTCTTCCGCCTCCTCCTCCTCCGCCTCCTCCTCCTCCGCCTCCTCCTCCTCCGCCTCCTCGTCAAACCGCCTCCTCATCATGCCACCTCCTCCTCCTCCTCCTCCTCCTCCTCCTCCTCCTCCTCCTCCTCCTCCTCCTCCTCCTCCTCCTCCTCCTCCTCCTCCTCCTCCTCCTCCTCTTCGTATCGATGAATGTATTCAGGTTATTTCGTCCCCTTCCCCTTTCCTCCCAGAGCATGTGCGCGCATTTCCTGTCGTCTGCCGCTGCCACTGACGTTCAAACTCGGGCGAGTCAGGGGCCCACGCGGTGCTCACAACCCCAGAATCGGACAGTCTCGCCGAGCTGCGTCCAGGAGAGAAAGACTGTGGTAGTCACCCCATACTCTGCGCCAGTTGTACCCTCCATATCACCGCCCACAGGCCGGGCCTCGACGCCGACGGTGTGGACGTGGACTCCATCGCTGTGGGCACGATCGTACGCGCTGTCCATACATTCTTTCTCCGACGTTACCCTGGCATGGCAGTCAGTATCAGAGTACGCATAGTGTATATTCTTTCGGTATCCGAGCTGTTCTATCTCATTGGACATCTTACAGTTGCCGACGATATGTACCGACGACGATTCAAACTATGGTGCGGAATGCTGTGGCAGAGACTCTACGACGATCGGGTGTATACATTAGCGATGCAGCCAGCGTATCTTCTCAGAACGCCGTCCTCGGAGCCAGAGGATTGCCTGGATCCAGATGATCTCTCTCCGCCATGCTCTCCAACGTCCTCTTCTGCAGGAAGCTGGTGGTACCAGCTGGTGTGTAGTTGTTCGCCAGATCACCGCAGGAATCCCGACCCCCCGTTCTCCGACCCATTCTTCGAGATGGAGCGCCAGGACGACTGATTGGGACGCTGCAGCGACGGTACACTATCGGACAGTGTTTTTTCTTTACATGGCTTCTTCTATGTCTTCCATGTTGTGTGGATGCTGTTTGTGCGAAGGCTGAATTTCACCTGATACGTTTCGAATTCCCTCGTCCAACTCAGACTGCAGCTGGCGTCGCCGCGGCAGAAGTTTTCATCCAGGGTGTTACCTCATCCCTCTCTCCCAAGCCACCGGTGGTTCTTTCTAAAGCTAGTGTTGCATTCGTTTGGTCTCTACTTTCGGGTCCGACAGCGTTGTCAACCCATTCAATGTTACTTCATCACTTTGGAGGTTTACTCTTCCGCAGTGGGAGGAAGCCCTTCCTTCGCGGGCAGCTTTTCTTCTTAGCAGTCTCGAGTACCCTGATCGTGTCAGGTATTTTACGTCTTCATCGTGCACTCCAGCTGGCTCCAGCGCCTTCGTGGGCAGCAGGTCTACTCCGATTGCTCCCATCAGAGTGGCTCGATCTGCAAGCAGTGAGTTCGAATGGCCGCATTGCCCAACGGGCGCGAGAGGCATCCTTTTCGTTCATCACACGTGGCACGTGGCGCAGTTGAGCTTTCATCCTGTGCCGATGTT